TTGTATGCATATTATATGCTTAATCCCTGCAATTGTGTATTATATATGCATAATATTTGTACCCATTTTCCTGATGTCAAGATTTGTGGAAATTAATCACTGAAGATAAAAAGTATAATGGCTGGATTGTCACCAGAAATCCTGGCATTGGGAAATCAATGTTTGGTTTTTTTCTTTTGATATATTTGGCTAAACAGGGGAAAACTGTGATATATGAACATTTCTTAACAAAGTATCAATATAAATTTCAACCTGATGGTGATGTTTTCAAAGGAGAATTTAAAAAGAACTGCAGGATAGTGAAACTTGGTATATCATGGATACAACAGCTCCAAAAACTCTGGATATAATGGCAAAAAAGGTTTTTATTAGCTCTCAAGATGATGATACCATGAAACAATTTCGAAAACAGTCTACAACTGCAAGTGAATTTATAATTCCCTCATGGACAAAGGAAGAGATAATGGATAGCCATAGAAATATTTATAGTCATATTTCTGAAGATATGGTCAACAAATAATATGATTTGTGGGGAGGTATGTGTTTTAAAGACTAGTGCCGTAAATTATGATGATGGTAGTAATTGTATTTACGGCATATAAAAAGTGGTTGCAATTACCTTTGTGACCACTTTTGCAACCATACTTTTTCCTTTTTTGGATTATGGCACTAGACTTTAATGTGTTTGACCCAGAAAAGATGAACTATTACTAGAGATAAATCAATTATCAAGTGGAACACATGCTAATATTGTCAATTATGGAAAGTTCAGTTGTGAGACAAGTCATAAAATATATCACATTTACACAACACCACCAAAATATAATAATATATACATGGAATTCGCCTCTCCCTATGTATGCAAGAAAGTTGTAGAACTATATGAACAACAGCATAAATCAAAACTGCTTGCTTTTTTGAAGCAAGTGACTATGGAGTATGGGAAAGTGTGTGTGGAAATTTATTTGAAAGTTATGCTCATAGAGTTATATCAAGAGGGGGGACTTTTAATGTATATGAGCTTAGTCAATCTGCCACAAGATCTGAAGAAATTAAGGTAGAATTTCCTAATTACAAATTAAAAGAATACAAAGATGTTAGTGAAATTGAAAACAATTCATATTGCATACCTCATTCCAAAGCAAATGAAGGATTTCATCAGGAAATTTTTTCTGACGCAAGTTTACATCTGTAAGTTTTAATATGAAATGATGTAATATTTCGCATAAAAAGGACGTAATATTTACACTGAATGTAATAATTGCGTAATTTTTGTGCAATTTTTGCATAATATTACACTATTTACGTAAGTTTATGGTGGGCCCCATAATATTATGTAAATTTATGGCAGGAAAAGTTTCCTGATGTTGGTTCATTGGTTCTTCCAAATAAATTTTTTCAAATGACTCTAAGCCACACTCACCCAATAAAATTGAAAGAAATTAAAAAAGTCAAAGGTTTGATGGATGGTGAGGATATTTGTCTTTATTTTGTTGTTCCAGAAAGCACATACAAAATTTTTTATAAAGAGCAGCAAATTTTGACATCAGACAGGAGAATTACTAGTGATAGGTGGGCTAATGGAATAAAACAATGTGCTCTGTGTATTAACTTGGATATGGCATTCAATACCATTTCATAATTTTGCTCTTTTCTATTTTAATGATTATTTTTCTTCTCTTTATATCACAAATTAGTATTAATTTTGATTTTAATATTACATTATCTTTTTGCTCAAAATACTTTTTTTAGATTAATAGAAATTTATCTTTCATTATACTTACTATATCCAAATAAATATAATGATATATCTAATGAAATGAAGTTATCAATTGGTTTTTTCTTATTTTACCAGTTGTCCAAATTTCTCAAAAGATTCTTTCATAAATTACATATTTTCCATCAATTAGTGTATTTAAAATTATTCTTGATATTTAATTTAATTCTATTCTATTTACTATCAGTCAGTGTGCAAATCCTAAAAATTAAGGGGCAGGTCATTTTGCCAGAAATTTTGGCTGATCAACATTGAAATTTTACTAATA